TTTCTTTTTTTGTGAGACGGAGTTTTGTTCTTGTTACCCAGGCTGGAGTGCAATGGCGCGATCTCGGCTCACCGCAACCTCTGCCTCCTGGGTTCAGGCAATTATCCTGCCTCGGCCTCCTGAGTAGCTGGGATTACAGGCACGCGCCACCATGCCCAGCTAATTTTTGTATTTTTTTAGTAGAGACGGGGTTTCACCATGTTGACCAGGATGGTCTCGATCTGTCGACCTTGTGATCCACCCGCCTTGGCCTCCCAAAGTGCTGGGATTACAGGCTTGAGCCACCGCGCCCGGCCGGTAATGGGCATTTTTATCTTTTATTTTTGAGACAGAATATCGCTTTTCTTGCCCAGGCTGGAGTGCAATGGTGTGATCTCGGCTCATTGCCACCTCCGTAGTTCAAGTGACTCTCCTGCCTCAACCTTCCGAGTAGCTGGGATTACAGGCATGCTCCACCACACCCAGCTAATTTTGCATTTTTAGTAGAGACAGCTTCTCCATGTTGGTCAGGCTAGTCTCAAACTCCCAATCTCAGCTGATCCACCCACCTCAACCTCCCAAAGTGCTGGGATTATAGGTGTGAGCCGCAGTGCCTGGCCAGGTATTTCTATTTTTTGTAGTTTTCTCTATTTAAAAAATTATTATACAATCAATATGTATTACTTTTGAAATCAGAAAATATTTTTAAAATTGAAAATAAGACAGCATATTCCAGTAATCTTCTAACAGCTCCATTGTGGATTGAATTAGGTGATTCTATCGATTGTTTGCTGTGTCCAGTTATTTCTGGCGCTCTCCTCCTCCCGAGAACACTGGCCATCTCCCCAGCCTAGGGGGAGGACATTCCAACATGAGCATCTACATTTAGGAGTGGATGGGATCCAGTGGCATTCTCCGAGGTGCCCAGGCAGATTCCTTCCATACTCAAGGGAGTATGATATTTAATCATCCCATGTGCTAAATACATACTACATGTATGATTTATCAGGATAATCCCACACAACCTGCCAGTTCTTTGCTCGTAGTGGGTGCCCAGTAGATGTTTGAATGCATAAATAAAGCACTCAGATAAGCAGAGACAGTTTAGAGCTCTCTGGGGATGAGGAAAGACAGAGCGCTCTGGGAGTGGGAATGAACTTGATTGACTATGGCCGGACCTGGCAAAGAACAACTCACAAGCATTGGCTTCGCAATGACCTTGTTCAGGCTGCTTAATCAATATTAAAAATCTGCTGCTCCCATACAATGTTGCTAGGCTCCCCAACCCTGTGAGGATGTCAACAGTTTAAAAAGAAGAAATAAGGCCGGGCGCGGTGGCTCAAGCCTGTAATCCCAGCACTTTGGGAGGCCGAGGCGGGTGGATCACGAGGTCAAGAGATCGAGACCATCCTGGTCAACATGGTGAAACCCCGTCTCTACTAAAAATACAAAAAATTAGCTGGGCATGGTGGCACGTGCCTGTAATCCCAGCTACTCAGGAGGCTGAGGCAGGAGAATTGCCTGAACCCAGGAGGCGGAGGTTGCGGTGAGCCGAGATGGCGCCATTGCACTCCAGCCTGGGTAACAAGAGCGAAACTCCGTCTCAAAAAAAAAAAAAAAAAAGAAAGAATTAGCCCAGCCTGTATTTTCAGGGGAGTGTTAAAACTGCCAGAGGAGCAGGGTAGTTGGCTAAACAGCCAGTGGAGAACTTTTCCAAATTGGTCAGCAGCAGCATTGTACACAGAAGTCTCTTCATTGACACGGGGCTAATTCTAGCTGCCAGCACTCCAGCGGTAGGGGACAGTTTTGTGGCCTTTTGCTATTGAATATGCCAGAATATAAATAGCAAACCATAAAGTCCACAGTGATTCTCACCCTTCAAATAGAAGTGTTTCACTTGTTTTCTCCCCTCCCCCCATCAGCAGGATTTGTACCACACTCCCTAAACCCCATGGCATAGGTTTTGCTATTTTGTATTCTTTTCTTCCTTCTCTGGTTGTTACATGTGAAAAGGTTGTGTTCACCACCGGCAGGGATTACAGTGGAAAGAATGCAGTGTGGAAAGCCAGGCTCAGTTGCTTACCAGCCTTGCTACCTTAGCCAAACAGTCATGCCCTCTGAGCTGTAGTTTCCTTCCTCATCTGTGAATAAACGTCTACCAACTCTCCTCACGTGACTGTTTTGAGGCTAAGATGATATTATAGGTACAGAAATAAACGTAAACATAACATATATGTATGAGGCCAGGCATGGTTGCTCACGCCTGTAACCCCAGCACTTTGGGAGGCTGAGGCAGGCGGATCACTTGAGGTCAGGAGTTCGAGACCAGCCTGGTCAACATAGTGAAACCCTGTCTACTAAAAATTCAAAAATTAGCCGGGCGTGGTGGCACATGCCTGATGCCTGTAATCCCAACTACTCGGGAGGCTCAGGCACCAGAATTGCTTGAACTCAGGAGGTGGAGGTTGCAGTGAGTTAAGATTGCACCACTGTACTCCAGCCTGGGTGACAGAGTGAGACTCTGTCTCAAAAAAAAAAAAAAAAAAAGAAAGAAATTAAAAATAAATAAAATGTATGAGATTATCTTTCATCTGGCATGCAATATATTCTTAAGAAACTCGACGGTATTGCGTTGCGGAGTTATGGTAGGGGGGCACCAGATGTCAGACCTCTGTGTGAACTTCGGCAGATCAGTTTCTCTAAGCTCTCGTGTTTTCCTCTGGAGGGCAAAACGGTACTGATGGGAATAAAGATGGAACGTTACAGAGTTGATATGAAGGTGAAATGGAAGAATGCAGGCAAAGCACTTCCCAACGGTACCTAGCACATAGTGGGCACTTCACAAATGTAAGCTGTGGCTGCTGTGGCAGCCAGCAGGGAGGCAGAGAAATATGTCGATGAGAAATGTGTATTGGGGCAGAGAGCATGGGCAGTTAGGTCATGGCAGGGCACAGAGTAGAAACGGGAGCTCTGTAAGCTAGCAGCTTCTGGGAATCAGTCTGGAAGGCGTCATGGAAGAATGGACTTTCTGGAACTCTTTGGATTATAGTTGGAAGATGAGTTATCTGGAGTTATTAAAAGACACTCTTACATGAGTTGGAAGCTGGTTGAGTGTGGGGTGAGGTGACCAGCTGTTGGGAGGTTGAAAAGTTCTGTAATAAAGAATGTGAGCTGAAGCTTAGTAGCCAAAATGTAAGCCTAACCAGGCCGGTGGAAGACTCTAAAACGGAGCAGGCCCCAAGGAATGGTGAGAAAGTCTGAAATTTGGCTTGCAGTGTGGATAAAAGCACAATTGGCCGTGTGTGATTGAATGGTGTGTCACAGATTGAGTCAGGAACAAGCACTTTCACAGTTCTAGGGAGGGGTGGGCCGTGGGATTTGTTGCTCAAGGGAGGAATTGCTGACGGTCACTGCGTAAATGAATTGTTAATCGAAGCTTTGTCTGATTATGACGAGGAATGGAGAAGAGAGGGGCTGCCTCCTGGAGGAGCAGAAATCATGAACTACTTGGAGGTGGGGGCTCCACACATAAGAAGAATATTCTTCTCTAAGAGATGAAGGATCCAGAAAGAAGACTGGATTCCCCTTTACCAAAGGTGGGGTTGATAATGTCGCTGAAAGTCAGTGTCGGAAAGTCTCCCTACTTTTTTTTTTTTTTTTTTTTTTTTTTGAGACGGAGCTTCGCTCTTGTTACCCAGGCTTGGAGTGCAATGGCGCGATCTCGGCTCACCGCAACCTCCGCCTCCTGGGTTCAGGCAATTCTTCTGCCTCAGCCTCCTGAGTAGCTGGGATTACAGGCACGAGCCACCATGCCCAGCTAATTTTTTGTATTTTTAGTAGAGACGGGGTTTCACCATGTTGACCAGGATGGTCTCGATCTCTCGACCTCGTGATCCACCCGCCTCGGCCTCCCAAAGTGCTGAGCCACCGCGTGAGCCAGCACTCACAGGCGTGAGCCACCGCGCCCGGCCAAGTCTCCCTACTGTCAACTAAAGTTCTTTAATTATGGTGGATCATGCCCCAAATTGCAGAATTATCTGCAGCTATTGCTATTCCCATGCAAAGGATGACAGGATCACACAAGTGAGTGAGGGCCGTCAGACACCAAGTACAGTTCAGTCTCCTCATTGGACTAGATGATGAAACTGAGGCTGAGGGCTGGATTTATCTGCTCAAGGTCATACAGATACATTTGGTTCAGTTTGCTCCAGATTTTCCTTTAGTTCCCTCCTCCAAAAATCTGGTTCCCTCTAATCTCTTTGCTTCTCATCTGCATAGTGTCAGAATGAAAATCCTAGTGGTTTTTTTTGTTTTTGTTTTTGTTTTTGTTTTTTTTGAGACGGAGTCTTTCTCTGACGCCCAGGCTGGAGTGCGGTGGTGCAATCTCGGCTCACTGCAACCTCCCGGGTTCAAGCGATTCTCCTGCCTCAGCCTCCCGAGGAGCTGGGACTACAGGCCCGTGCAACCACGCCCGGCTAATTTTTGTATTTTCAGTGGGGAGGTTTCACCCTGTTGGCCAGGCTGGTCTTGAACTCCGCACCTCCAGTGATCCGCTCGCCTCTGCCCAGCAAAGTGCGGAATTACCAGAGAGAGCCACCGTGCCAGGACAAGTCCCCTTTAAGTACATCCTCCCTTCTCCCTGCTGCCAGGCTTTGATATGCCCACCGGGGTTCTCCATTGGCCACTTCGTGTGGCTTCTCGCCCCTTCCAAGATTCCCAACCAATCACCTCTTTCCTGTCTCCCGTTGGGCTTTGAGGAATGTACCATATGGACCGTGCGGGGGGACGAAGAGGACGAAGGGCGTGGCGACGGCTTACTTCTTTGCCTTTGGCACATATCTCGTAAGATTCTGGCAAGACTGAGCATCCAGGTAGCAACAGGGTCCCTGAGGACGGAAGCCGCGTGCCGGTTCCAGGGCGCACTGAGCTCTCTCGCCCCCGAGGCTGGGGTCCTGTGGTCCGGCCCGAGGGCCGCAGCCCCCGCCCTTCCATGTGCCCGCCCATCCCCCGGCGGCTGCGCCGCGGCTCCCGCTGCTGCTGACCGCGCCGGACGCCGCGGCTGTGGGACTGGGCGGCCCCGGCCGGCCGCTGGGACGCCGGCGCCGAGGACGCCGCAGCATGAGGCGGAGGTACGGACGGGGCTTCGGGGCTCCGACCCGCGCCAGCCGCCCCGGGGTGGCCGCATCTCGCTCGCCCTCGAGCTCGGGGTCCCGGCCCCGGGCTGGCCCCTGCGGGCGGCTCTGGAGCGGGCGTCCCGGGAGCAGGCGCGCGCCGAGCCTCCCGCCCGGGCAGCCCCGAGGCCGGGACCCGCCGCGGCGCGGGCGCCTCCTTCCGGCGGCGCGTGCAGCCCTGCGCCCGGCGGGCGGGCCGCGAGGAGGCCCCCGCCCCGCGTCCCCGTGCGGTCGCCTCCCGGCGGAGGGCGCGCGCCCAGGTGCGCCGGCGGGCCCGGGTTCCGCGGCGGCGGGCGCGGGGCGACGCGGGGAGGCTGTCCGCCTCGGGCGGGGGGCCGAGCGCCGGGGCGGCTTTTTGGGGCGGGGGAGGTCTCTGTCTGGACGCGGGTCCGCGGGCTGCGAGTCGGGGCTCCGCCGGGTCCTGCCTCCGCGGCCCGGCCCCCGGGGCCACCCCGTCCGGCCGCCCGGGCCTGACGCTGGCGTGCGCCGAGGGTGGGCGCCTGCGACCCTGGCAGGTCGGTGGCCGAGCGGACCCCGGCGCGCCTGTCCATTTCTGGGGGCGGCGGGCGCGGCCGGGCGGTGGCGGCGACGCCCCTTTCCCTGGCTGCCTTCGGAGGGGACCGCGCTCCTGGAGGGCTCCGAGGCACGCTGGAAATGCCCAGTTTAGAAACCACCGTGAGGAGCCCCGCGCGGACCCGGGCCTGCCTGGCCTAGCAGAAAGCCAGCCGCCGCGAGAGCCTCCGCCTGGGGGGCCCTGGGGAGCCGCCACCCGCCGGCTCGGTGGTTTGCTGGGGAGAAGGGGTCTGGCAGGCCCCTCGGGCAAGGCCTCGGGGTCGCATCCCGTTCAGGGGCGGGGCACCAGCCCCCTATGTTGGCTGATTTTCCTGCCTCTGCAGAGAAAGTATGTCCAAGAGTTCAAAACACTTTGGTGTTCTTTTAATGGTGTTTAATGCAGATGTTGACTGTGATTTGTGTGAAATGGTTGATGTAGAGGAATGAAGGTCAACTGTGGGCAGGTGGACAGTGTTTTGTTTTTTTTGCCCCTAAGCTGCTTTTTAGTGGGATGTTTGTTCATGGAGAGGATGACGTTTGAGTATCAGGCCGCCAGTGTGTATTTGGTCCCATCTGACACTTTGCTCCATAGACAGTCGTGGTACCCCAGGGATGAGGATGAGCCCGCTTTTAAGCTGAGAAAGACATCTTTCTACCGTCGCTGCCGCCTGCGGGAAAGCTTCGCCTTCTGGTTACCTGGCCACACACGGGCCGGTTCGTTGTGGTTGTCGTCTTCACGACACATGTCTGCAGCGCCTCTCAGGGTGCTGGCATTCCGTATTTGATTGCCAGATGTATTTCTCAGGTCAGAAATCCGGCCCCAGATTTTTCGAGTCCTATGGTGAGTTTTTATTGTGCTCCAGGTTATAAAAGTTTTACATTTTTTTTTTTTTTTACGGTGTCTTCAATACCCTGAGTTAATTTCATAATTATAGGAAAGACATGCTTTGGGTGTTCTTCCTGTAAAGGGTGTTTCAGAAGTTAGGCCTGGTTCCTCAGTCAGGGCTGCTTTTTTGTGTTCACAGCGCTAACATTTGAAATGTCTTAAACTTGACTGCAGGGTCTGATTCTTTCCCCCAAACCCCCCACGTCTGGGATGATCTCGTTCACTGGTGGTTTATTCTATGGTGTTACTAGGTGTGGAAGAGAAAATGGGCATTGGAAATAATGTATGTGAAGAATTAGCACAGTCCTTGGCACATAGCAGATGTCCAGTAAACATCAAGTGAATTTTTCCTTTGTGCCTTGGGTTTGAGAGACCTGGGGATGAAGAAATTGGATGCAGTTTTGGTCGCATGCTCCCCCACTTCCTCCTTCCACTCCGACTTCCAGCTCTCCAGACATTTCAATGGTAGCTTAGAAATGAAACTCACATCTTGGACCTAGAAGTAGAAATAAGGAAAAATGGAGCTCTTCCTCCTGGATCATATGTTGCACTTTAAAGGAAGGCCAGCACGTACCCATCATTCAGTACAGGAGTGCAGAGGGTCAAATCTCACCGTTTCTGGCATCTGTTGAGTAGTCCTGCCAGAGAGGATTTTGGTGGTGGTTGGTTTCACATGCCCAGGTGGAACCGGATGAATTGCCTACTTTCTCTAGGCACTGGCATCTAAGAAGTGGCCCAGGATGGTCAAAGCCTGACCATTGGCAGAGTCCTAGCTTTGCTGGGCTGTGCCTGTGAACTGGGATCTGGGAGGAGCAGCCATTTGCCTCCTCCAGCGCATAGCAGCTCCCGTGTGTACAGACGAAAAGGCCATCAAACCTAATGTTCTGGAAAAGGTAAGAGCCATCATTGGCTTATGTTCCGTAATATTACGGGGCCTGGCATTTTAATAATAATTATGCTCTGCATTTACTACTGTTTGCTTTTTCTTTGAGACAGTGAAAGCTTTTTCATCACCTATTATCCCATTGATTCTTATTTGTCTCTGAGGTCGTCAGAGTTCAGTAAGGAAATGGAGGTGCCATGAGTTGCTTTAAGTTGTGAGTGAGTTGGTCCCTGAACTGGGCTCGAATTGGGTTTTCCTTCTTAAGTTTCACTTTGCTGATACCTTTAGGGGAAAATAATTCACACTTTTTTTTTTTTTTCCCCAGAAGCGGAAGGACTTAAAGACACCAGATCATTGTGCTTTTCTGATGACTAGATAGTGGAGGATAGTTAACATCAATTGAGTGCTTATCTGCAGGAATCTGTACTAGGTGTTGCACAGACATTACCTCATTTATTCCTCACAACAGTATTCAGGGCAGAACTTACTATCTCCAGTTACACAGATGACAGACTAGGGTTTTGTGAGGTCTTAGCTCAAGGGAGTGATCGTGAGTGACAAAGCCTTGACTGAAAGCAGGGCTGGGTTCAGTCCTGGGCTTTCTGATTCCAGCACGTGTGCTCCTCCTAACCTGTGCGCTAGCGGACCTCAGGGATGACTACTGCACAGACCTGAGCACCTGACACCTGCTGCTGCCACCCCAGGTCTGATGGGTGGTAGGGGTTGGACGGGGCTTTATGTTCTGTTGTAGTAAGTTTTCACACCGTGATCTTTTCCTTTGCCAGAAGCATTCATCTAGACAGGTGGAGGGGAATTACTTTAGAAAAAATAATCAGAGCTGAGAAAACGTCTGCATTTGCAGAGTATGAAGTATTTAATAAGACCAGATGGGCTGGGCGCAGTGGCTCATGCCTGTAATCCCAGCACTTTGGGAGGCTGAGGTGGACAGAGTGTTTGAGACCAGCATGGGCCACATAGCTAAACCCCGTCTCTCTAAAAAGTACAAAAATTAGCTGGAACACAGGTGGTGTGCACCTGTGGTCCCAGCTACTCTGGAGGCTGAGGTGGGAGGATTTCCTGAGCTCAGGAGGCCAAGGTTGCAGTGGGGAGATTAGGGACAGAGAGAGAATGGAAGTGGTTTGTAAACAGAGGAAATTAATGGTACTCTGATCCAGAGGCCATCTTCAGTGTCCAGGCTGTTTTGCTTAAGCTGCTGGTGAAATTGTGAAACTGGAGGTACGGCACCTGTGCTGCAATCTGCCCGCTAAATAAGGCTCTCCGTTTTTTTTTGTTTGTTTGGTTGGTTTTTTTTTGAGATGGAGTTTTGCTCTTGTTACCCAGGCTGGAGTGCAATGGCGCGATATCGGCTGACCGCAACCTCTGCCTCCTGGGTTCAAGCAATTCTCCCGCCTCAGCCTCCTGAGTAGCTGGGATTACAGGCACGTGCCACCATGCCCAGCTAATTTTTTGTATTTTTAGTAGAGACGGGGTTTCACCATGTTGACCAGGATGGTCTCGATTTCTTGACCTCGTGATCCACCCGCCTTGGCCTCCCAAAGTGCTGGGATTACAGGCTTGAGCCACCGCGCCCGGCGGCTCTCCGTTTTTACTTTACGTAGCAAAGTTGAAAGCCTGATTCCTTTTTGGTCTTTAGCTTCCAGTATACTTTAATGCAGTACACTGTGGTCATGGTGGGAGTGTGGTTCAGAAATTTACCTAAACTCTGCGGACTTCCCCTTCTCTCCAGCCACCCACTCTGTCACTTTTGGTTCCACTCTTCAGAATTAATCTGTGATTCCATGGAGTTGGGGGGATGATGGGTGGTGTCAGACACTCAAGTGCTTGGGATACTCCAGTGGAGAGAACAGTGTGCCCCCCCCCCCCGCCCCCGCTCCCGTGGGCCTCAGGTGTATGCGACTTGTTGTTTTCTTGGGGGTGGGCTTTAGCCGTCTCTACCTATAAAAGCACCGCTGTCAAGAAGCTGGGAAAGGCTGGGCACGGTGGCTCATACCTGTAATCACAGCACTTTGGGAGGCTGAGGCGAGCAGATCACCTGAGGTTGGGAGTTCAAGACAGTGTGACCAACATGGAGAAACCCTGTCTCTACGAAAAATACAAAATTAGCCAGGTGTGGTAAGTACACACCTGTGATCCCAGCTACTTGGGAGGCTGAGGTAAGAGAATCACTTGAACCTGGGAGGTGGAGGTTGTGGTGAGCCAAGATTGCACCATTGCATTCCAGCCTGGGCAACAGGAGTGAAACTCTGTCTCAAAAAAGAAAAGAAAAAAGAAAGAAACTGGGAGGAATAACCAGTAAACTGTCACCCCAAACCCTGCAGTTGATTGCATGTTTCTTTCTTTTTTTTTTTTTTTTTTTTGAGATGGAGTCTTGCTTTGTTCCCCAGGCTATAGTGCATGATCTCAGCTCATGGCAACCTCTGCCTCCCGAGCTCAAGTGATTCTTCTGCCTCTGCCTCCCAAGTAGCTGGGATTATGGGTGTCCACCACCATACCCAGCTAATTTTTTTGTGTGCTTTTTTTTTTTTTTTTTTTTTTGAGACAGGGTCACGCTATGTTGCCCAGGCTGGAGTGCAGTGGCTATTCACAGGCGCAGTCCCACTACTGATAAGTTTTTGT